CTGCTAGTTTGGCTAGGTAAACCTCAGTCCATCCGATCACTTCACTGTGTTTAAGACTCACCAGTGAAGTGCTGCCTACTTCTAGAATCAAAAATAAAGACAGTTATGATCTTTAAACTGCTGTAATTTTATCCTTTGACAGAGGTGATCCTGGGGACCTGCTCCTATTTGAGAAGACACACAGGCTGCCTGGAAGCTCCATTCTTGGGAAAGGTAACTACACAGTCAGGTGTCTTGGCAGGTGACATGAGCTATTATTCAGGCCACCTCTGAGCTGGGAGGGCTGTGGTCTGGGGAGCCAGTCTGTCCTTGCTTCTCCTGTTTTGTTTTGCTTCTTTTGGGAAGAAGGGCTTTGGCCTTGGGTCAGGGCCAGGCTCTGGATTCTTCAATGTGACCGGGTGGAGTGGGAGTGGAGGGACCCCACCAGGGTTCCCCCTAGTGTTACCTGCCCTTTACCTCCCAATACCCTCTGTTCCTGTGACACTGAGAGGCTCAGGTGTTGGACACACAGAGATATCTCTAAAGAAAGACAAAACAAAATCAAACCAACAAGCAAGGCACCCTCTACTCCTCCACGGGGGGCTTTTCCTGTCACCAGACAGAACTCTGAGAAACAGTTTCCCACTTGTTCCTTTTTCCATCTCACCAGACTCACCAGTATCCCTTGATTTCAGACCCAGCCCCACCCCAACAAGGAACCTCTTGCCAAGTCCCTGATGGATGGTAGAGCTTCCCCATGGCTCCCAGGGTCCTCACCCATCTGGCAGGTTCCCTGGGCCTCTCAGCAGCAGGGGACAGGGTGGTTACTCCCGGATCCTCTCCTCTTAGCTCTCTGCTCACCTCCATAGCCACCCTTCTGTCTCTCCCTATTTCTCTTCCTCAACTGGGAACATTGGAGGCCTAGGAGCTGGGTTCTGGTTTTCCCTGCTCCCCCTTTAGGGTCTCAGAGTGAGATAGGAATTTAGGGGTTCAAGGAGAGCACTGAGCAATCCCTGTAAACCACTGAAATGCAGAACAAACAACCAAGGAGCACCCCAGCCCACACCCCTGCCTGCAGCTTTCTAACTGGCTGAAACCAAACCAAACCAAACCAAACAATACCAAGAAAAACCACAAGGCATCTGGTAGAACCACTCCTTTAGGGAGCAGGCACAGGAAAGACCTGGTTGACCAAGAAATGACCCTAGCCTCACTACAACAGTCAGACAAACACCCTTGGGTAGTGACTTAAGACCTAATAAGACACGTGATAGAGCAAGTGGCATGATTAGAACATGTAAGGGCAAGGCCCAAAGAAAACTGGTGCAAAATCCCCAGCCCTGCCCTGCCCAACTCCACCTCTGGTTCAGCCCTTAGCTACTGTCCCTCTGCGCATGTCAGGACTCCAGGAAGACAGGACACTCACTCTCTCTCTCTGAGATTGCCTGCCCTCCCATTCTCCAGTGTGTACTTTCTTTTTATAACAAATACCTTTTGCTGTTACTTAGACGTGATATGTTCCTACATTCTTTCCTGTGACATGGTCAAAAGCCTGAAATGCCATAAGCAGAGGTCTCCTCCACTTCAGACCCCTGTGTGGGGACAATTTGAACTCACGGTCTTGAGAAATAAGAAAAAAAAAAAAATGGTTTCAGGCTGAAATCTCCAAAGTCTGACTTCGGCTTGGAGCTTTCCTTGGTATTGAACCAATCTCCACTGGTCATCTAATGGTTTGGGTCTGGAATGTCTCCTACAGACCCATGTGTTAAGACTTTGTCTCCAGCTTGGAGCAATTGGGAGTTGATGGAAGCTTTAAAGGTTGGGGCCTAATGGGAGATCTTCAGGTCATTGGAGGTGTGTCTTTGAAAGGAATAGTAGAATCTTCCTTTCTTTTTTGAGTCCTAGCCTTATAGGTGAGTGATTTTCTTTCCCATGCAATACGTATGCTGCCTTGCCATAAGCCCAAAAGAATAAGGCCAATTGATCATCAACTGAAACCTCCTAAACTGTGAGTCAAAATAAACCTTCCCTCTTTTTAAGTTGATTATCTTGGATATTTGTTATAGTAACAGAAAGCTGACTAATACAGGGCTAAAATCTAACATCAAGCTGCAGGTAGGGTTGGCTTCTCCTAAGGCCCCTCTCCTTGGTTTGCAGATGGCAATTTTCTATTTGAATCCTCATATTGTCTTCTCTCTATGTGTGTCTGTATCCTTATCTCCTTTCTTATAAGAACACCAGTCCTGTTGGGTAAGGGCCCACACCCATGAGTTCATTTTGCTGTAATCATCTCTTTAAAGGCCCCAACTCCAAACATATCTCATTCTGAGCTTCTAGGGGTTTGGAATTCAACATAGGAATTTGGAAGAGGACATAATTGAGCCCATGGCAGTGATGTCTATTTTTGTTTTCTGGGTCCCTGGGCCTTGGTAGATATAGTTTGATTTAAGGTGGGTGGAATTGGAGACTGTAGCTAAGGTGAGTCATTTGGGCTTTCTATGCCTGTGTGACTAACCTCCAGTAAGGACCTGAATGGTCACACATCACACATGCAGTCACACATGCGATCACACACACGGTGTGGCTGGGAGGATGAAGTGTGGTCCATGTAACTCTTCTGAGAGGGGATCCTGCAGACTCAAGACTGGTGTCTCCTGCACCCTGCCCTCTGCCCACCCTTTCCTTTGCTGATTGTAGTCTGTATCCTTTCAATGTAGTGTTATTGTGTATCAATACCCTTTCTGAGTTCTGGGGGTCCTTCTAGGGTCATTGTCTAAGGGAGATCTTTGTGGGGATCCCAGTAAAGCAGCCATAAAAAAATAACTACGTAAGGCAAAGAAAGCTAAACTCATTCAGACCCGGCTGAGATGGGAACACCTGTTAACCAATGAGAATCTTCCCTTCCCAGGCACCTGCAAGTGGATGGGGGTCCCAGCCTTCCCTACATGAATAAGAAGGTGTTGAAGAAGGAGTGCCAGGTGTAACGGCAGAGTGGTCATCTCCTTGGGGACATCCAGGTTCCTGTTTTATGCTTTTCTTTTAAGGAAATATGTTCTGAAAACAATCTTACGTCTAGCTCTCTGAAGAGGGCCCTGTCCCCTTCTTCTTGTGCAGCCTCCAAAGCTGAGTGGCCAGGGGCATAATGGTTGCAGGTGTGTTGTTAGATCCTGAGAGGACACTTAAGATCCACAACCCTGCTGCTACTGCCTCTTAACAGTTCCTGGGAGCAGGGCAACGTGGCTGGGTAAGGATTGTACCTTTCTCTCCTAGCAGCACTATGTGAATGCAAGTGTGATGTGAGATCATCCAGGGTTTTCACTGGGAGCTGATTGTAGAGACTTGGAGAACCCCCAGGACAGATGTTAGCTACTGTCTTCAGTCTCTGGGAGGTCAAACTATATCTAGCATGCCTAGGGATCCAGCAAGATTCATACTATTAAGGGGTGAATTTTGTATCTCTCACCTCCAAAGTTCATATGCTGAAGCCTTCACCCCTAGTCACTTAGAAAGTGGCTGTGTTTGGAGATAAGGTCTTTACAGAGGTGGTTAAGGTCAGAGGAGGCTGTTAGGGTAAGCCCTGAACTAGCATAACTAGTATCCTTATAAGGACAGGAGATTGGGACCCAGACACACAGGAGGAAGACATTGGAAGAACCATGTACAAGCCAAGGAGAGAGACCTCAGGAGAAACCAAACCTTCCCACACCTTGATCTCAGATTTCAGCCTCCAGAGCTGTGAGAAGATATGTTTCTGTGGTCTAATCCACCCAGCCTCTGGCACTTTGTTATGGCAGCCAGAGTAGCCTATGTGAGCTGAGATGCTTCTTTGCAATGAGCTCATGTGAGGCTGAAGATGTCACCTGGGAAATGATACAGCACAGCTGGCCCTGCTACTCTTTGGCTATGTGCCTTTTCCAAAATCTGACCCCTCTTGCACCATGGCTTCTGCTCTGGGACATTTTATTCCCTTTCCTCTTCTCTCTCTTCTTCTGATCAGTGTGTATGGCCTCCTTTGCTCTGCTGTTTGCAGGAACCACAGCTCTGACTCATTCCTGATTGTAGGGTCCTGAGGTTTCCCACACATCATGCAGACTGGGTGTTAAAACAATGAAGTCAAAGTGAACACCCCTGGAAGAATTAGGATAAGTGAGGAAGTAATAGGTGAACACTTTGCAGATGCAGAAAACAATAGCTAGATGCCTGATCCCAAGAAGATTCTGGATTTGGGAGCTGCAGCCATGTGGGACATATGTGGGAAATGGGAGAAGGTGATTCACTTCCCCACAGCACCCCTACTCATGAAGATGTTCTGTGTATACTGCTGAGAGGAGGAAGCCACCCTGGTGTCAGAGGCATGCCAGGGACCTCTGTGAGCACAGAAGGGATGCCAAGCCAGCCTAGTCCACTTGCTGGCCCAATTCATGCCATTTGCTCAGCTGGGGCTGGGGCTGAGGGGCTCTGCATGCCCACCTGTCTCTAGCATGGCCACACTGGACAGATTCCTTGATGAATGGGAGGTTTGGAGATATGGTGAGACTCGGGTGGGAAGACCAGTCCACCTGAGTGTTTCCTGAATATGAGCCATGATGGGGGCATGGATTAAAATGGGGAGGAGGAAGGGGCCTGATCAGAGGGATGGAGGGGCTGGCTTCTCTATGATGAGCTTCTCTTAGGTGGTTAGTCAGCTTTCCACTGAGGTCACACAATACCTGAGAATATCAACTTAAACAGGGGAAGATTGATGTCAGAGGTTTCAGTCCATGGTCACTTGGTCCTGTATTTTGAGCCTGGACATGATGGTGGAGAGCATGTGGTGGAGCAACACTGCTCACCTCCTTGTGTCCAGGAAGCTAATGGACAGAGTGAGGAAGGGTCAGGGATGAGATGTCACCTTCCAGGTCATGGCTCATGACTCCATTCCTCCTGCTAGGTCCTGCCTCCTCTAGTTTCTATCACCGGCATCATAATTGAATAGTCCATTCAATTATAAAATCATCAGTGAATGAAACCATCGATGAGATCAGAGCCCTCCTGATCCAATCACAACCCCAAACCCCACCTCTGAACACGGCTGCATGGGGGACCAAGCTTCAGTACTTGGTGAGCCTTTTGGGGGACATTCCAGACCCAAACCATAAGGCCTGGTTCTACACCTAACGTACTCTGGGGAGGTTTTTGGAGACTCCTGATTCCCCGGGACGCTGCAGACACCACAGTGGCCCTTCTAGTCAGAATGGGAACCCATTGGAGGGAGTAGACATTTTATGAGTGTTCATGGTGTGCCACCTACTGTGTGTTTAATTCTCATGGTGTCACTTGCAGTGGTTGACATGGTCTTAAATCAAGAAACTGAAACCCAAAAAGACCGTGTGGTTTCTCCAGATAGCAGAAAGCGAAACTGGACTTTGAACCAAAGGCTTCATTCCCATGGGTGACACTGAACATGGATAACAGCTTTCACTAGATATCAGTAGTATCTCAGTGCCCACAGTGGGCAGACGCTCTAAGCAGTCATCTCAGAACTTCAAAGCACTATCTACCCTTACAGACTTGCCCTGATGGTCAGCCAGGCAGTGGGTCCTCCCCCACCACTTTTGTTGGCTTGGGGAAGCTCAAGCATTTACAGTCTTTGTGTGGAGTTGAAGCTTATGTCTCTGTGTCCCGACAAACATGATCTTCTAATGCTATGGTCCCCAACCCTTGGGATGTCCCAGGCCCACATGAAGATGCTGTGCATTGAAACCTCAGCAGCTGGGTAAGGTTCCATCCTTCACCAAGTCCACTGCTCTGGGGAAAGCTATGTCCTGGCCTTCTTGATTCTTCTGTCTGTTGTACTGAGTGAGGAAGGGTCAGGGATAAATTCTGGACCTCTTATTCCACCACCTGTCCCTTCTGGACTCTGTATCTTGAGAAGTCATCTTCTCCCAACCTGAGCATCCTTGTATCTACACCTTTTTTTTTTTTAGTGCTGGGATTGAACCCAAGGCCTTGTGCATGCACGGCAAGCACTCTACCAACTGAGCTATATCCCCAGCCTCTGGAGTCCACACTTCATCCTGGCTCTTGAGGGCCGTAGATCTGCTAGACATGGCTAGCCAGGCTTCTCCCTTTAACTTCTTCCTGTGGATCCTGACTCTGTTGGGGGAACCAGAAATCCTAGCTTTGCATAACAGCACCTCAAGTGCACCAGGAAGTTACTCCAGCCAACTCTAGCACACATGTGTGTTCACACACACGTGCATGTATATACTCATGTACATGTGCACACACAAATGTGCATACACACATACCACAATAGACACGTATACACATGTGCATATGCACATGCACACACACAAGCCCCAATTTTGTTTTACCTTTAGGGCACACACCCTCATTCTCTCTGTGTTTCAACCCTTCTAATAGGACTGAATTCTGGACCCCTCATCCCACCGCCTGCTGTGAACACACACTAGGCCATCTTCATGAGCCTTGCAGGGGGTGCACCCAGGTGAGCACTGTGTGGTGGAAACAGTGCCTGGGCTCTGGGCAGTGAGTGCAGAGTGTTGGGGAGCAGGTCCCCAGGCACCAGGAGTCAGGGTTGTGCTGCCCCGGGGAACACACACAGGCTAACAGGCCACTATTAGACACTGGAGCTATCTTTGGAGGTGAAGGGTTATCTACATCTACTCTGCTCTGTAAACTCCTTCACAGTGGGTGTCCTCCTTCAAGGAGGAGGCTGGGCTGACTCAACACCCCTGCAGATCCCTTTGTCCCAGGCCACTGTTGCTCTCCTCTCCACCTGACTTCTGGTTCTCAGGTAGGGAACAACTGTGCCTCAGCCCAGTCAGGCCCGGCCAGTGATTGCATAGAAACCTCTTCTGTAACCTCAGCACAGGGCTGTCACCAATTAGTGAGGGAGCTCAGAGGGGACCAGGCAACACAGCTAGGAGGTGGGATGAGGTTTCCTGCCCTCTAGTGCCCTTCCTAAATATCCAGGGTCGGTCTCAGAGCCCTCTGCAGTCTCCTCTGAGATACAGGGATCCAAGCTGCTGTGGGGTTGTCCATCTTCCAGGGAAAGATGCTTACCTGGGAGCAGGTGGAAGCTATAGATCTCTCCACTGCCCTTTCTCACAGTGGTCTTCCTGGGGGTAGTTTGGGCCTGAGCAGACCCTTCTTGCAGGACAGGGGCCACAAGGCCTTATCCGCTTGGGCCTCAGTGCAGATCTCTCTCACCCACCCTGAGAGGTAAGGGCCACACAAGAACTCTGGGCCCAGATCCTCTTATCCTGAAGAGCTTAGCAGGACACAAGAAAGCTTGTGTCCTCCCTCCCCAATACATAGCTGAAACCTCATTCCAAAGTGCTGCTGCGCGGAGGCAGGGCCTTTGGGAGCTGATAAGGTCAAGAGTAGGGAGCCTTCCTGAATGAATCTTAGACAAGAGGCCTCAGAGTTCTCCTCCCTTTTCCACCACGCGAGGGCACGGAGAGAAGGCACTGTCCGTGAAGAGGAAGTGGACCCTCACCAGACACTGAATCCGCCAGCACCTTGATCTTGGATTACCAGCCTTTAGAACTGTGAGAAATAAAGACATATTGTTTTTAAGCCACTCCGTCTATGGGGCTTCATCCTAGCAGCCCAAATGGACTCAGACACCGGGCTCGGCCCTGCTCTCCCAGGCTGCTGTTCTTCAGAACTTGCTGTCTCTTCCTGTACCTCGCCACCATCTCCAGACACCTGGCATGTGGATCGCAGGCAGATACTCCCAGGGTGATGCCCTCTCCAGGAACCTCCGGCCTCCTTTCCAATTCCTTTCAGCTGCAGTCTGGTCCTTCTGATACAACTGGCATCCCTCACCTCTCACCTCTGAGCCTGTGCCCTTTACCCATATCATACCCTTACCCCCACTGAATGACATGTGACCCCCCCGGCCCCATCAGTTCATATGCTCCTGATAGCCTGGGTCAGGAGCTCAGACAGAGCACTGGGGGAATCCTGTCTCTGCTCTGTGATGCCTGGGGAACAGCGAAGGCTAGGGCTCATCTGAAGGCTCATGGCCCTGTCTCTGGTGGTAGCTACAGTTTGTTAGCTGGGCCTCAGCTAGGGCTGCTGGTTGTCACCTTAGCAGGTGGCTAGTTTGGGCTTCCTCCAAGCATGGTGGCTGGGATCCAAGAGAACCCAGTGGAAGTGGGATTGCCACTTGGAAGTCACAGTATCACTTCCCTGTAGTCCCGGACCTCCCCTGATTCAGAACACAGGTCCCGATCTTCTCCATGGAGGAGTGCCAAAATCACGTGGGAGAAGAGGATGTGGGAAGGGAGAGACTGTGGTGACATTAAAAAGAAATTAATCTCCCACAATACCCACAGATGAAATATTGTCCAAGCTCCTAGCGTATGCCAGATCCCAGTCATTCACTGGGGATGCAAAGACAGGCACCACAGACAGACACAGTCCTTGCCACCTGAGAGCCAGAAGTCTATTGGGGGAGGCTGAGAAGAAGCACAGAGAAGAGTTGAGCTTCTGTGTGGACCAGCGACTCCCTCCCAGGACTAAAAATCCAATCCACTAGTTCTTAAAGGCTTTGGTTGGAATGCTTCAGGATTCATGAAATAGGAACTGCCCAGAGATTTGAACACTCACTCTCTTGATCTTTTTTTTGGCTTATTGGTTGTTAGCCTGGGGTACCCTTGAAGGATGGGGCAGAGCCTCCCCCTGGCAGCCCTGAGCTAACTGAACACTTAATCCCTCCCCCTCACTCTCTCAGTCTACACCTCTCTGGCTCACTCTTCTCTCTCACTTCTCATCCTTTCTCCCTCTCCTTCCCCGTTTCTCAGTCATTTTGCGACTCATTCTCTCCTCTCCCACTCTCTCTCCCTCTCATCCTCTCACTCCATCCTTCATATACACACTGATCATTTTCCTGCCCCAGCAGTCAGACATGGAAGTTCTGTTGCAAAGGAGGCCGGGTCCTGTCTTGACCCACAGCCCAAGGGCCAACAGCCAGATCTTCAGATCACTGCAGCCACCAGCCCAGCCTGGAAATGCTTTCCAGCTCTGCACTGACCTGGTTCCTGGGGGGAGACCAGGGGGTCTTGGGGAAGCTGCTGTGGATACAGGTGGGGTGTGGGGGAGTAGGAGCTGAGCCTCACCTTTCCCACAGGTGGATCAGAGCAGCCTGTTTGCATCCCACTTTAGCACCTTGACATGAGATGAAATAAGGCAGTACATGAACAGGAACAGTTGGCTAGATTATATATATATATATTTTTTTTTTTGGTATCACATGCCCCTTTGGAGGTTTGTTGAAGTCCTTGGACTCCTCTCCAAAGCTTCAAATAAAATCTATAAGATCATCAAAGAAGCATGTATGCTGAAATACATTTATCAAGACATTTAAAAGACATATCCGGGTTTCAGGAGTATACGAATTTCTTTTTTATATATTATAGAAGACGCTGTGGTGCGTCCAATTCTGTTGTCTTCCAAAGTAGTGTCGAGGATGACCAGGCCTGGTGTGGCTCACATTCATCACGGAGGGAAGTGCTGAGGCCTTGCCACTGCCCTGAGCCCCTCGGGTGGGGAGTCCCCATGTGTAAGCCCCTCAATTGATCTAAGCCTGGGTGTGTGTGGGGGGAGCTGGCTGCCTGAGTTACTCCCCAGGGGTTAATTTTCCTCCCATTCTGAGCAGACGCTCCTCAGATTACACCGACATTTGAGGCTTGGGTTTCGGCCACATTTTCAAATTTTTCTCTTCATTTGCACAGAAACCTGAGCAGCTTCTGCAGTCTGATTGCATCATTAATCATAGTGTGACTGCTTGCATGCCCAAATGGAAAATCTGTTCTTTGTTTCTTTCTTCTCTTTGGTTTTTCACTCTCTGCCTCTGAATGAGGATTAGACATGACTGTGCCCCTCCCCTCCCCTCCCTTCCTGTCCACATGGCCCCTCCCTGTGCTGATGTCCCTGTCCTTGCTCTTCCTGAGGGACTGAGGGAGCCAGGAGTGGTTTAGTCAATTTGTATCTCTCCTTGTGGCCCAGGGATGATGGTAACACACACACACACACACACACAAGCACGCACACACACAGTTTCTTTGTTCCTTTCCAAGAACCGGTTGGCTTACAGCAAAAATACTAATTAATCAGGGCAAGATTCAATCACAGGGAAAAATGACACAATGGAGATAAACGGTTTTGTGGAGGAGGAGGTCCAGATCCCACGGTCCACATCTTCCTCCACCTTTTCCTTTCCTATTGATAATTTCAGTGGAGATGGAGTCCTGGCTTTCAAGGGCTCTTATGGCTCGACTCCTAAGGGACTCCTTGATTCAGAGTCCCCATCTCCTGACCATCATGGCTGTCCTATCCTATAGTGATCAGGGTGCTTGCTGTACAACTGCTGGCGAGCACTGATACCCTGGGGCCTTCTGTCTTGTCTCTGGCAATGTCAGACCTCACCTCGCCTTCTCTAATTGGTACCTGATCTCCCTCCCGCAGGGCAGGACCCATGTCCCCCATGTAGAACTCTCTGCACACGGGAGTCTGGAGCAAACCCACCCTTCCCAAGACAGAGGGCAGTTCTTCCCTTGAACCCACGTTCCAAATACTCAGCTCCAGTCCCAGCCCAGCTGGCTGGGGAGGAGAAGAGGGAGAGGGATTGTCTTCCTGTTAGTGAAACCCTCCCCTGCCTGGAGTGGTCCCAAGATCCTACGAAAGCTGTCACATCCTTCTAGAATCCTTGTCCCTTTACTCTGTCTGAGCCCATTTGTAGCCAAATACTGATCCCCCACCTCCCATACACAGATGTATGCACAAGCTTGCGTGTTTGGAATTTTTCTAAGTGAAGAGTTTTCTCCCATGCACCCAGCCCACTATTCCTGGGCTTCTGGGTCAGAAGCCTGTGCATTCATTGAGTTTCTATGTCGAGCCCACTAGGGAAGTGTGTGGACACTGCTTTAGCATCATATTTCCCGTGAGGGGTTTTACCCAGAGCAAAGAGGCTTTCCACCCCTTGGCTAACTCTGCTCTCCCCTCCAAATGTAGAAGGTGCTGGAAACTTTTGTCTGTCATCTATCTATCTACTCATACTTTGCAGTGCTGGGGATAAACCCTGGGCTTCTTGCATGATAGACAAGGGCTCTGCCATTGAGCTATACCCTCAGCCCCTTGGTAACTTTATTTAATTTCTTGAAATGGGGTCTCCTTGTGCTGCCCAGACTGGTCTCTAAATCATGGGCTTAATTGATACTCCCACTGAACCTTGAGTCAGGACTAGGTGCATGTCACCAAATGTGGCTAATTTTTAAAATCACAGTTTGTTTTTTCACTACAACCAGGCCCCTGATGGGAGAGGTGAAAGTTCTGGGATTTGTTGGAACAAAATCAGAAACGAATCAATGCACTTCAGACAAGACCTGTTTTTTGTCTTCCTCCTGCTCTTTCGTGATGAAGAGCTATGGCTGTGGCTCTGAGATGTGTCCTCGGGTTTCTTTGAACAGGAGAATAAGAAATGAATCCCAGATGGACTCCTTCCCTTGAGGGAACTCAGTCTTGTCATTGCCAAATGGCTGTGCCCTGGAATTGACATTTACTGGCACCTGGGCCTGACGACTTGAATTTATGTTTGGCGCCAGTGATGTGGTTTGGAGATAGATATATATATATATATATATATATATATATATATATATATAGTGTCCCCCATGTAGAACTCTTCACTGATGAAGTGGTTAGAAGAGGAGAGCTGTAACCTAACCATCCCATCTTCGTTAGAATGGACTAACTGGCTGATCACTGTGGGGAGGTGGGGTGTGGCTGGAGGAGGTAGGTTACTGGGGGGTGTGCCTTGGGAGGGTTCATCTTTCTGTGGCCGCTTCATTCCTCTCTCCTCCTCCTTCCCCCCTTTTTTCTTTTCCTCCATATCCCTCTCCTTCTCCTTCTTCTCTCTCCTTTCTTCCCTTCTGCCCTCCATGGGGTCAGCAGTTTTCCTCCATCACACCTTTTGGTCACGATGTTCTGCCTCATCTCGGGCCCAGAGGGATGGAACTGGCCAGCCATGGACTGAACCTCTGAAATTGTGAGCCCAAATACACTTTTCCTCCTCTGAGCTGTTCTTGTCAAGTATTTTGGTCACAGTGATGAAAAGCTGGGTCACACAGCCCAGAATGGACGTGACCAGGTCATCTGTCACCTACTGGGTATGTTCAGGTTTGTGCTCCCTGTGTGACCTGATGGCATGGAAGAAATAGAAGGAGGGAACAGGTGGATGAGGTGGTGTTTTACTGCCTTAGAGGGGTGTGGCTGGCAGCTTCTGTTACTGTAAATCAATATCTAAGATAGACAGCTTAAAGGAAGGAAAAGATTTATTTTGGCTCACAGTCTCAGAGATTTCAGCTCATGGTCACTTGGTCCATCGCTTTGGTTCTGTGGTCAGGCAGCACATCATGGTGAGTGAAGTGTGGTAGAGCAGAGCTGCTAACCTCATGGCGGCCAGGAAATAGAGACAGGAAGTGGCCCAAGTCCCAGGACCCCTTCTAGGGCACACCCCCAATGACATAACTTC